CAAACAAAAAAACCTCTATATAAAAAATAAAAGAAAACATTTTAAGAGTTTAAACAGAAGTACCTACATGATGGATAAAGCTGCTCTCAGAAATCACAAGTTATTAAATAAAAATCCCAGTACCTGGTGGGGGGGGGGTTCCTTCCTCTGAATGGTTGGTCAGGAAGGTCTCTGAGGTCCTCCAAAACAACAGGCATTTGACTGCTCATCAGAACTAGACCCTACTGATATAAACAGCTCGTGTTTTGCTCATGGGACATAGGATCAAGCTGCAACTGACATGGAAGTGTCTTCCCTGCCAGGTAGCTCTCATAGTGTTTGAGGGTATTGCACAGGCCACTTGTGGGAAAATTACCATCAAAAGTCTTCCTCAGCTGTGGACCCTGTAGGCTACCATCCGGCCAGACAAGAAGTTCCCACTGCTGAATAGTGGCAAGTCAGTAATAGGAGTAAGTAACTGTTCTTTGATTGGATGTGAGGCCCATTTCACAAGAGGGAATCCACATTTGGTACTATAAGTTTGGTCAAAAGCCTGTAGCTGGTGAGGTCATAGGTACTAGTAGGGAAGCTACTGCTGTTGTTGCTAAACAAGATGTGCCCATTATATTGCTGCCTAAATAATTATGTTTATAGCTGTAGATCAATGCTCCCACCAGCTTTTGTCAAAGAAGCTCCTTTTTGAGGTATGCAGTATAACTGTAGAGACTGAGAACAAGAGATTCTTGAATGCTCAGCATAAATGAGACTTCGATATAAGCCCCCTCCAAGGCTCAGGGAACATCACAGAAGATGGGATGTAAAGACTCTGAGATGGAGAAAGGAGTAGAAGGAGGCAGAATATTGTCTTTGGAATATGACACTGCTGTTGCACTTTTGATCCCACAGCAGTTGAGATTATCAGCACAAAACCTGTGCAAGATTGGCCCTGTTGACATCCTGTCATGAAGGAGAAAAGAGCTCTTAAAGCTCCCACCCCAGGACCTACAGATAGGTAACAACAGCTAGGGAGAGGGGCTCATGAGGCCCCAATCCTCCTTGAGTGTCTATAGGGACTTAAATGGTTGCTGGCAGAGGGAGAGATATTTTCTTCATGGTGTAGCCACTGGTAAGGAGCCCATGGCCTTATAAATAATCCCTCCTCCAGGACCCTGTAAGTAGCCCTGATGATACTCATTGGGTCATAAGAAAGAAGGAGAGGGAGTGAGAGACAGAAAGAGAGAAGAAGGAAGGAAGGAAGGAAGGAAGGAAGGAAGGAAGGAAGGAAGGCGGGAGGGAGGGAGGGAAGGGAAGGAAGGAGGGAGGGAGGAAGGGAGGGAAGGAAGGAGGGAGGGAGGGAAGGAAGGAAGGAAGGAAGGAAGGCGGGAGGGAGGGAGGGAAGGAAGGAAGGAAGGAGGGAAGGAAGGAAGGAAGGAGGGAAGGAAGGAAGGGAAGGAACTAGGTGGGAAGAGAAAGGAGATCAGCAGGAGCAGGAGGTGAACGGGAAATGGTAATGGGGGTGTATATGACATAAAAAAACAGGTATATAGGAAAATGCAATAATGGAACCTATCATTTATAGTCAATACCTGCTAATAAAAACGAAGAAGGGTTTTTAAATTTATTCTTTTTCTGTATATGAGTGTATTGCCTGCATGTGTGTAAGTGCACCTGTGTCGTGCAATGCCTACAGAGGTCAGAAAAAGGCATCAGATCCCCTGGAACTGGAGTTGTGGATGGTTGTTAGCCGCCATATGGGTGCTGAGAACTGAACCTGGGTCTTCTGCAAGAGCAGCCAGTGCTCTTAACTGCTGAGTCATCTCTCCAGCCCAGATAAAGTTTTTTTAAAGATATGATTATCCATTTACAATTTCTCCTATGAATTATTCAATGCCTCTTGTCCATTTTTCTATTAGGATGATAATTATTTCCTTAGTAATTTCTATGAGGTAAATTATGTTATTCTAGTTAGACCACAATGCAATATACATAATGAATGTTCCTTAAATATGCATTGGATTGTTAGCTAATTGTCTTGGGGATGTTTTAGGATTACTAAGAGGCTGATTCTTTCTCGTGTACAGGACACAGCTGGGCAAGAGCGATACCGGACCATCACCACAGCCTATTACCGTGGGGCCATGGGCTTCATTCTGATGTATGACATCACCAATGAAGAGTCCTTCAATGCTGTCCAGGACTGGTACAGTGTTCATTCATTCATTAATTCCTTCAGCAAAATGTTCATGAAAACTTTGCATGTGTTAGGGAAGCCCAAGTAAATCAGGCATGGTGCCTGCTCTTAAAAAGTTCTCACATAGCTGGGTGTGGTGGCCTGTGCATTTAGTCCCAGTACTCAGGAGGCAGAGGCAGGCAGATCTCTGTGAGACAGGGAGACCCTGTCTCAAAAATAAGAAAGTTCTCATGTGAGATGAGAAATCAAATCAGTAAGCAAACCATGAAAATGTCAGAGGACAAGTGCAGCAATGAAGAGAGACATAAGGGCTATGGGAGCCCGGGGGAAGGGCTCTCTGACCTAGTTTAGGAAGACAGCAAAGGCATCTGGGGGTCCATGACACACGTGCTACATTTTGTGGAAGGAACAGGAATTAGCTCGATGGACAAATGGATGAGACTTTCCAGAAAAAGAACACAGCTCTGCTAAGAGGAGGAGGTGAAAAGCCAGTAGGAAGTGTAAGCCATGGAAGATTTTTGTGTTGAGGTAAGAAGGTTGGATTTTATCCTGTAGGTGATGGTATATGGGATGATATTTGGAAATCCACTGGTTCTGCCTTACCTTTCAGGAAGATTCCTCTGGCTATAGTGAAGAGCGAGTGAGTCCATATAGCATTTCTCTATCACTAGACTGGCCTAGGGCCCAAGAACACATCCAGCCCAAGTTCAGAAAGGCTCGGTTTGCAATGGAATCATCATAGTGCTCCCAAGGTAGAGCCTCTGAGCAACTTACATTTTTTCTTTTGGGGGACATCACTTACAGGGAAAAGTGAGGCATGTGAAAAGGAGGAGCCAGTACCCAGTGGCCCTAATCAGAGGAGGACAGGAGAAGGTGGGGTGTTCTTTGGAATCAGAGAATCTGAGTAAGCCAGGCACCTAGCAGCAGTACTGAGAAGCACCAATCTTGTTTCTTGCTCCTTTTGGCCCATAGCTACTCTGTAAGGCAGTTTTCTCTTACTACAGCAAAATTACCTGTAGGCGGGGGTGGGGTGCTTTATAAAGCAAAGAGATCTGCTTCGCTTACAGTTTTTGTAGGCCAAGGGTCTAAACAGCCAGGCTCTGGCTCTAGCAAAGGCTTCCTGGCTACATCATATCATGGCAGATGGCATCATCCTGGGCGCATGTGCAAGGGAGATAGACAGGAAGGCTGACAGAGACAGATGGGGAGAGGCTGGTCTTGCTCTTTTATGGTTCTTGTAAGAACTAACCAGGGCCCCCCGAGAATCATTTCAGTTCCGTCAAAAGGCCACACCCTCAGTGACCTAATTACTTCCCACTAGGTCCTACCTCTTTTACTTTCTTTTGTTTTGTTTTTGAGATAGGATACCACTATGTAGCCCAGGCTGGCCTTTAGCTTATGATCTTCCTATCCACTAGGCCCTAACTCTTAAAGGTCCTGCCATAGGGAAAGGCCAGTCTTATTCTTTTTTTTTTTCCTTTGGTCTTTTTGAGACAGGGTCTCCCTGTAGCCACAGCTGACCTGGAACTCACTATGTAGACCAGGCTGGCCTCGAACTCACAGAGCTCCGCCTGCCTCTGCCTCCTGAGTGCTGGGACTAAAGGTGTGCGCCACCATGCCGGCAGGCCAGTCTTACTCTTTTATAGTTCTCATAAGAACTAATCAGAGTACCCCAGGAATAACCTCAGTTCCTTCAAAAGGCAGCACCTTAAGTGACCTAATTACTTCCCAAGTAATAGTGGATAGGAGGATCCCAAGTTTGGTCCTAGAACCAGACTTCCAATATGTGACCCCTTTGGGGACAAACCACAGCTAAAACCATAGCAACAACCCTTTGAAGGCTTCCTCGAAGGGAGCAGTGGCCATGGCTACATAAAGCATCTCAACCACTTGAGCCTGGAGGTAGGCATGATCTTGCGAGCTGACTACTGCCCTCCCTGGACTGAACAACAGTGCAGGGACCAGTGTTCTCTCCTGTCTTGCAGTCACTCTCCTCTGTTTACACCTCCTTTAACTTCCTTCTTTTTCCTTCCCTCCCACTTTTCCCTCTTTCTCTTTATTCTTTCCAGTCATGATTTTCTGCCCGTCTCCCTCCTCCTTGTGTCCATCGCCTCTGTCTTAGCACACTTCCTGTGGCGTGATCAGCTCTTTCTTTGTTGCCACCCTGCTCCTTTCCTATTGACTATGAGCCCTTTCCTTCCCTCCATCACTCTGTTCATTTTGATTCAGGAACACGGTGGCTTTAACACCTGGTGATGATTTTCTAAGAATAGCCTGAGTCTTGCTAATCTGAGAGCTGAGAGACGCTGGGCAGAGCAGCAGGGAAAGATGAAAGAATAGAAGGCAGAGATCAGGCGTTGCTTTCAGGTGCCTGCCATGCATCTGGAGACTAAGTGTCCATCTCTCTTAAGCCCTTACCTTTGAGTTTGGCTTTGGAACAACTTGGCCTCAGTCATCCAAGCCTCAGTGCCCAGGATGTGGCATGGCTCTTTCTGGGATGACAGCAAGTGGTGGTTGAGTTTCATCCCTTTAGGGAATGGCCTTTCACCAGATGAGGTTGGTGGTAGGATTGGCTTTAGGAGAAGAATCAGGTTGAAGTTGGAGCTAGGGGCAAGCTGGATTGAGTGTCAATGTCAGATAGTCAAGATCTGCCTCAGGATTAGCTATTCACAGACACGGTCATTTGCCAAACGTTCACTGACACCCTCTCTGCTCTGTACTCTATCCCAGTACATCTGGCGTCCCAAAGATGAATAGGCCTTTCCCTACCCCCCAGGGAAAGACATAAATTTAGCCAAATATAAGAGGTGCCATGATAGCGGTACGGGGGACCAAAAGGGGATCATACCACCTCATGGGGTGTGGGATATAGAAGTAGGTCCACTCCAAAAAAGAGAGAGAGAGATGTCTCTACAGTGCAGGGTCTTGTTTTATTCTTCTCCTAAAATTGTCCCAGAAATTTGTGGGTTTTTGTTATTTTGTGTGAATGAGTGCTATGCCTGCATGTATGTGAGTGTACCCATGTTGTGCAGTGCCTGTGGAGGACAGAAGAGGCATTGGATCCTCTGGAACTGGAGTTACCCACCATGTGGGTTCTGGGATTTGAACTGGGTCTTCTACAAGATAGCCAGTGCTCTTAACTGCTGAGCCATCTCTCTAGCCAACTTTCAAAAATTTATAAAGTACAAATATTTATAAAGTGCTTTTTTTTTGGTCTTTTTGAGACAGGGTCTCCCTGTAGCCCCAGCTGACCTGGAACTTGCTATGTAGACCAGGCTGGCCTCAAACTCACAGAGATCCGCCTGCCTCTGCCTCCCAAATGCTGGAATTAAAGACGCGCGCCACCATGCCCAGCTATAAAGTGCTTTTTAAAGGCCTTATAATAGAGGTGGGTAGTGGCAGCTCTCAGCTCTGATCCCAGCACTTGGGAAGCTAAGGCAGCTGGATCTTCATGAGTTGGATGCCAGCCTGGGCTACAGAGTGAGATCATATCTCAACAAAAATATAAACAACAAAAAAAGGGCTCATAATTGAGCTAGGAGTAGTGGCTCATATTTGAAATCCCAGCAGTGGGGAGGCTGAGGCAGGAGGTTCACTGACTTTGAGGCCAGCCTGGACTGAGTTCCAGTCTAGCCTAGGCTGTAGTGAGACTATCTCAAAAACTAAAGTCTCATAAGTATCCTATATGAATGAAGCTAACCATGCTCTAAGGTCTCAGGGAACATGTATGAATCAGGGGAGGAAAGAGGCAAGTTGATCCAGGGAAGCTTGAGAAGACTCCCCACAAAGCTTTGTGTGGTCAGCACTGGGTCTTGGAGGATAATGTAGTTGTCAGGAAAATATTCTCAGTATAGACAAAGTCACCACTATGGGAGAACATTTGGGGAATGAGGAAATTTATGGGATAGAATGAAGAGCCATGAGGCTGGAGAGACAGGTCACAAATGGTTGTGAAGTAACTGATCTAGATTTGATCAAATGGCTAGTGGGGGCCAGAGAAGGCTTTTAGGAAAGGACATGTCAGATACAGATTTTCAGTAGAGCTCTCTGTCCAGAAAGGAAAGGAATGACCAGATGTTAGAGGGCACCAACCAAGGTGTCAGGGCCAGCACCTGTGGCAGTCTACAGGGGCAATTATATGCCTGTCTGTCCTCCGCTGAATTATTTGGCAGTCACATGCTGTTGCTAGCCTTGTGGGAGGGAAACCACTTCAGTTTTGGGAGTTTTGTAGTGTTGGGATTGAGCCCAGGACCTTACACATGTAGGCAACCATTCTACAACTAAGCTGCGTTCTGAGCCTGCTTCTTTAACTTCTGGAAGTTTTCTTTCCTACCTAGGAGGGTGTGTGTCTTAGTGTGGGCTATAACAAGAATGCCATTAGCTATGTAGTTTAAATGGCAAACATTTATTTCTCACTGTTCTACAGTCTAGAAGTCCAAACTCAAGGTGCTAGTGGATTTGGTGTCTGGGGACAACTGTTCTTTCGCTGTATCATTAATGACAGAGAGAGAGAGGGGGAGAGGGAGAGAGAGAGAGAGAGGGAGAGAAGAGAGGGAGAGGGAGAGAGAGAGAAGAGAGGGAGATGGAGAGGAAGAGGGAGAGAACTTTAGTTTCTTTCTCTTGTTACAAGGACACTAACCCCACTTATTGGGGCTTTACCCCCATTCCCTCATGACATAATTACCTCCCAAATGCTCAAAGAAATGATTCCATACAAATCCAGCTTTGTGAACCAATGAGTTTATTGGGCTTACTTACAGGAGCCTGGGTGAGGGACCATTCAAGGGGGCAAGGGTGACCCCAAAACCGATGTATCCCACCCTAGCATAGGTAATAACCTGAAAGCTGCATGAATGAGCACCCCCCCCGTTAACTTTCCACTTTGTATGTGCTCTAGACCTAAGAACATGTACAACTGGTGCAAGATTGCACGCAGTTGGTGGGGGAGGGGTGATGGGCAGCAGAGGGGGAGTGGCTGTAATCTTCTTAAACTGTGGATTGCAGTCCCACATGGGCTCACATAACTGAACTGGGGTCTTGAAAATGTTGGCGATAGTAAAAGGATTCTGAACAAATAATGGCCAGAATATAATTAAAAATCAAACGCAATGAATCCGAGATGTTTCCGGCAGTGCTCACCCATGTTACATTGCACAAGTCCCCTGTAGCTTTGTGTGTGCATGTGTTCAGCCTACATACACTCGGCAGCACCAGTCAGTCCTGCCCAAAATGCCAGAGCTCAGATTTCAGACTGTTAGATGCTAGTGAGTCTCAGTGTTTATGGTATTCAAGCAAAGTTTTCTGCTCTCATCAAAACATAACGGTTTAACTATGGAAAACAAAGGCAATACTTTTGCTACTTTCATTCCTCAACATGTAAGTATCAAATTAGTATCTCCTTGGGTTGTATTGTGTTAGAAATGTTTGACTTTAAAATTGTCTTTGGAGTTCTGATTCAAGTTTCACTTTTTAAAAAATTATTAAACAACATTAAATGAATGTTGCTTTGGGGTTAAGTTAGAATTCTCAAACTTCTGCTGTTTTGTAGTATTTATGTGAAATGGTGTTCTCAGCATCAGTGATTATAAAATTAAAATACCAATCAACTCTGAAAAATATTGGAGGGGGAAAAAAGGACCAGGCATGGTAGTTGCATATACCTGCAATCCCAGCTCTCTGCAGGTTTGAGGACAGCCTAGTCTGCACAGTGAGTTCCAGGCCAGCTAGGTCTACATAATAAAAACCTGTCTCAAAAAAATTTTTTTTAATTCCAGGCCTGATGGCACAAGTCTTTAATTCCAGCACTGGGCAGCAGAGGCAGGTGGATCTCTGAGATCAAGACCAGCCTGCTACATAGGGAGTTCCAGGCCAACCAGGGTTATGTAGTGAGACCCTATCTCAAAAAAACAAACAACAACAAAAAACCCAAACCCAAAACAACAAATTTTTTAAGTGTTGAAGATACTATCTTTCATTATCAATTATTCAGCCAAGATTTAATTCTTTATGTAAAAATAAACAAGAATATCCAACTCAGCATGCAATTTACTTTAGTGTTTAATAAATGGTAATATACATATATATATATATACCAAAGAACTGTTTTTTAAAAATAAATTTATGATTTATTATAAATAAATGTTAGATTTGTCTATTTTATATACCTGTATACTTGAGGTCACATAAAAATTTCTTGGGTGCGGGGCTAGAGAGATGGCTCAGAAGTTAAGAGCACTGACTGCTCTTGGAGAGGACCCGGGTTCAGTTCTCAGCACTGTAGCATGGCAGCTATGAACTGTCCTTAACTCCAGTTCCAGGGGAATCCAACGCCCTCTTCTGACCTCTGCACGATATGGGTGTATTCACATACATGCAGGTAATACACTCATACACATAGAATAAAAATAATAAAATATTTTTTAAAAATTTCTTGGGTGAAAAGGAGACATACATGGATAAAATTTAAGACCTGTACTGAGGAGTGTTAATAGGCCCAGCCTTGTGAAGGTCATGTGCAGGTAATCAAAGCTGCTCTGATTTCAGGATGTCATGTCATGCTGGAGGACAGCATTCCACAATAGGCTTCAACATGTGAATTGGAGGGGTAAGGGGCGACAGCACAATTAATATATTTCTCTCTGTCTCTTTTTAGGGCTACTCAGATTAAGACCTATTCCTGGGACAACGCACAGGTTATTCTGGTGGGCAACAAATGTGATGTGGAAGAAGAGAGGGTGGTCCCTACTGAAAAGGGCCGACTCCTTGCAGAGCAACTTGGTATGTGCATGACACGTGTGTGCATATATGTATGTGCACATGTAAGTGGGACAAGTAGGACACAAGTGTGCCTTTTTTTGACATTAGAATATATTGCGATTATGAACTATGTACCTGTGTGCCCTGGGAATATTGTTTGTATATTTGAGTCATATACATATAGACTTTGTGCTGGTGATCTTAAGTGATTCTTCATTTATATTTTTCTTATATAGAATGTATGAGTGTGTTGCCTGCATGTATGTGAGCACACCTATGTTGTGCAATGCCTCGGAGGTCAGAAGAGGCCATCAGATTCCTCTGGAACTGGAGTTAAGGACCATTCATAGCCACTATGTGGGTGCTGGGAATCGAACCCGGGTCCTCTGCAAGAGCAGTCAGTGCTCTTAATTGCTGATCCATCTCTCCAGTCCCAATGAATACCTTTTTAAAAACTAGATCTTTTCACAAGGGATTTGAGATCTCTATTAAAATAACCATAGCACAACAATAAACATTGAGAACATTTTAGCAAAGGAAGGCAAAGGTGGGAGGAAGGTAAGAGAAAGATAAAGTCAGATAAATATATATGTCACTACTTCTTGGGCACCAGCAAGAGGTAGGCCAAAATATTGTCTTTGACCCTCCTGGCAACCACTACAACAAGCAAAACATAATCTGTTATGTGGCTCAGAGTGTCCTTACTGTAAAAACAAGCCTGTTATTCCAGGAAAGCTCTGCTCCTCACCAGCAACCATACAGCAGACTGTATGCTCAGTGCCCATGTTGATATCACACATCCTTCCAGAAACCACAATATGGAACATAGTAAGCTATTTATTGCCATTTTTCTCATGTAAATGGATACCTCTCACCAAAACACAATTCATAACAAAAGTAAATGTATAAAGAGGCCAAACAATGCAGTTCAAGTTTGCAGCTGATTTTGATCCATGTTCTGAGGTGCCTAGGCGTGTCCCAGAGTCCCCATACCTATCTTGGCTTGAAAGTTCAGTTTTTATTTTATATATTTAGGTTAAATGTAAGATTGTCTTAGAGAAATAGTTCCATGTCTGGAGAAAGTTAACAATCTTCCTCTAGAATAGACTGACTGACTTTTAGGCAGTTTCCCTACATATTTGTCATACTTTAAGTGGTTTAATTGCTGAAGAATAGAGGGCTTAAAGATATACTCTGACAGTTTTGAAGTACAGAAGTTTGTGCTTCTAGGTGGGTAAGCTTTATGATATCAAAGTGTGGATTGTGTGTTGTGTGTGTATTCCTCATGTGTGTCCATGTCTCATACTTCTTCCCCACCCATATTATCCAAGATAGTCTGGATAAGAAATGAGTAAACCTTAAGTGCTTAAACGAGGATTGGTTCATCCTGGGTCTTGCTGTTCCTTCTATCACAGAGGTTCTCAGGGTATACCAAGTGTCTCCATTCACAGAACTATAAGCATGTGGTGAAGCCCATACTTGGTAACTTCAGGTTATCCTTTTATGTTGTTTACAACCCACAACCCCTTTGGAGCCTGGCAGAATACAGGAACACAGAAGTGAGATTAAGGAGGCACTTTTGAAGAAGGCCTTAATGAATTGGTCAGGTTTAGGGAGGTCAAGGCAACTCATCTCTGTGATATTCAACTCCCTGAGCTTGTCTCTACTGCTTACCACTGAGCTTGTCTCTACTGCTTACCACTGAGCTTGTCTCTACTGCTTACCACTGAGCTTGTCTCTACTGTTTACCACTGAGCTTGTCTCTACTGCTTACCACTGAGCTTGTCTCTACTGCTTACCACTGAGCTTGTCTCTACTGTTTACCACTGAGCTTGTCTCTACTGTTTACCACTGAGCTTGTCTCTACTGTTTACCAGAGCTTGCTTATTATGTGTTTGTCCTTCCTAGCCCTGAGGACAGGGAATATGTCTGATTTGTTTCATTCCATTGAAAAATGTGTATTGGTAGTCAGTGAGATGGCTTAGCAAGGAAAGGCACCTGCCACCAAACCTGACGTGAGTTCAATTCCTAGAACCCACATGATAGAGAGAAGCAACTCACAAGTTGTCCTGTCACCTCCATTCAAGTGCTATGGTATGTACATATGCGTGCATGCACGCACAGTATTAAAAAAAAATAAAGCCAGTCCCAGTAACAGAGATCAACCATATGCATTAAAGAAGTGAAAAAGAGAAACCTAATTTTAGGCTGGGGAGTCAAGGTCTTTAGAAAAAGTAACATCTGAGCTAAGAACTGAAAGATGAGAAAAAGTTAGGCAAAGAGTGGGCGTGGAGTGTTCCACATTGTGAACAATCTGAATAAGTGGGTTAGATCTCGGAGCATTTATGGGTTTGAACAAAGGCTGCGTAACAGGGTCTGAATAACCAAGGAGAGAGTGGTATGAGATGAGACTGGAATGGTACAGGGGTCATGCAGCATCCTGTGGGCCGTGTCAAGAACTTTGCATGAACGTGATGAGATCCGCCTTCTTCATTCCACCCCAGCACTATCCCTCTGCTATTGCAGGTATTAAGTCAGTTCCAGTGGTCGGCCGCCCAGCTCCAGTTCCCTTTGCCTCTAGTAATACTATTTTCAGTTCGTAATCTCTGGGTTTCCTCTGTTCTATTTGGCTCCTTGATTCCTTTACCACCTATATAACCGTCTGTCTCTGATTTAAATGCTAAGAGTAGTTTCCATTTTCTTGATTAGACTCTGTCTGAAACAATTCAGCTGAGTGCCTGAGATTATAGGGGAGAGGTACACTATGTTCTTCGTGGTAAGATAGGATGGGGAAGAGAAAGGGAAGACTGTCTGAGATCAGAAAGTCCACAGACAAATAATGAAGACCATTAGGAATGGGAGCTAGAGAGTGACCGCAGGAGCAAAGGCTGAAATGAGAAAGCATTGATGTCTGCAGCATGGCGTGAGCTAAGAAGGTGATGCTAGAGAGGCAGTAAGGAGCCATGCTATGCAAGGCTGCTGTGGTCCGATGGTCCATTGTGACTGAAGGCTTTGTCTTCAGTATTGGGAAATGGTAGAATGTTTAAGAAGTTGCGCCAAGTAGGAAGAACGTTGGTCATTCAAATATGCTCTTAGACAGCAGCACCCTTTGAGTTCTCTTGAGGGATTTTTTTTTAGACAAATAGCCCAGGCTGGCCATGAACTTGTTACCAAAGGTTAGCCTCGAACACTTGATCTTCCTGCCTCTGTCTCCCAAATGCTAGGGATTACAGGTGTGTATGTGGCTTAAGAGAGGTGCTATAAAAGTAGTGAAACTGCCCCACACAGCTCTGTACTTTTTGGTCCAGGATGTGATCTTCCTGCTCTGACACATGCTCTCCCCATTGTTATTGGCTATGAGATGATGCAACTAATGAGCAATCATCACTACAGAGCTTGTGCTATGCCCCTTAGACTTTAAATCTACTGACTCACGAACCAGATAAATCCTTTTCTTCACAAGTAGTCTGTGTCAGGTATTTTGTCATAGTGACGGAAAGTTAACTAAAACAAGGGTCTTGGGTTTTAAGCCAATGAGATTGATATGGAGTTAACAGATCTTTTTCAGTTCCAGGGACACAAATCCAAGCCAAAGTAGTTGAAGTTATAATACAAGAACATAGCTGAAGTAACATGGATGAGATGATAGCCCAAAAATTAATAGGCCAGGGGATATAGCTTAGTGGTATAGTGCTTGTCTAGTAAGTATGAGGCCCTGGGTTCAGTTTCCAATACCATAAAATAAAAACAAGACAAAACACTTTCCCCATTTTGGTGTCTCACACCTATAATCCCAGCACTTGGGAGACTGAGGCAAGAGGATTGCAAGTTTCAGGATAGACAGGGCTACAGTAATAAGCTATATCGTTAGGTGGACTGTTCATATGACAAGGAACCTGAGAATGAGAGTAAGCCCAGAGTAAAAAGAAAGACAGTGAGTCTCCTGCCCAAATCATCAGAGGCAAGAGAGTATAGGTTGGGGGTTAGAAAAGTATGGCAATGCAGAGGCATCAGTAAGATGGGGAAGGGAGTCAACATAATGATAGCAGAGAAATTGTCAGGAGCAGTGTTGGGATAAGGACTGAATTTAGCTGTTTGCAAATTTCCAAACAGAATCTGAGGTCAGGTTAGAAGCAGGCAGTGTAGACACAGTCTGTGAATCTCTAATAGCTGCCTTTGGCAGGCAAAATAAACCTATCATTTTGGAGATTGGGTAGCATTTCAGATTCAGTTAAGAATTGGACTCCATTAAAGATAGCAGAAATTTCACTGTTCCGAAACCAATTAGAAGAGGGAAAGAACTGGGGGTGACTAGCCTACTTCGTTGGCTGTCAGCTTCCTGGCCTGGATAGATTCTCAGCTCTTGAGATACTTACTAATGAACCTGAGGAAAAGGTTACCACCCGGGCCTTCTAATGAAAGGCCTTCCAGGAGCCTGACAGTAATTGGAGCCTGGCAGTGCATTGGAGGTTCTGAGCTGACTAGACCCATGAGGTGGTAGCTTGAATTAGAATTCTCATACTTTGGGTACCTTTGCAATGACAGTGAAGACATTTCTTTGGCATGACATTTGAGGTCTCCATGTTTGGTCTCCTATTCATCTCTCACCATGTTAGGTTTTATTCACTGGTAACAAACTGCTGTGGTCCTTTTAGCACAGAAGGATGTTTTTAGCCCCCTTTTCTGCATTCATATGAACACTCACAGTCTCTTGTCTTTGTCCAGCCAATATCTGAATTGGCAACAGCTTCTCCGAGAAGTCTGCCCTGGCCCCCAGACTTGGATAGGTACCTCTTCTGTGTCCTGACCAACCTTTGACTTCATACTGTTCCAGCACTTACTATTATAATAACCAGGAGACTAGGAGCTCAAGTGTAGGAACGGTGTGTGATTCACCTCAGTGTGCCCAGCATGCCCAGCACAGGGTCTACCTGTGTCTCTGGATGCTGGCTGAGACAAGCTCTCATGACCTCTGCTGTCTACATCATCTCCATCACACCCTCCATGCACCTTCCAACCTCCTTTATTCAACCAACATTCCCCAAACACATACTTCTTTACTGGGGCTGGGGCTCCAGTGAGCAGCCCAGCCCTGCTCAGGGAGCCCCCAGTCAAATGGATTTTACCACACAGGGTAACAAGTGCTATGGCAAGGGAAATGAAGAGCTCTGTCTGAGTCCTGCAGGATGAGAAGTTAGATGAAGAGTTTTGCTCAGTTCCAACATTACAGGCACACATTCCCGCTAACTCCAGGAAGCTGCCCTGCACTTCCCTGACATTCATTCCCTCTCCTGAATCCCTTCTTGGTCTCTGGCTTCTCTAACTCAGAATGGAATAAGCTTGGTCTGTCACTGTTCCAACTGAGGGTGAAACAGAGGCATGAGATGGGTCCCTGGCTTACCCCTCACCTCTGAGCTGGTTTTTCTAGCTGTAAATTATAAATGGTAAGCCTTGCCTTGCCCAGGTACCACTCTCAAGAGGATTTGAAGAACACAAATTGTCCTCATAAGATTGTTTTAAGATTACATTTATAAACTGTTAAGAACTATGCAGAAACTTTTTTTTTTTTTTTTTTTTTTGGGACAGGGTTTCCCTGTAGCCCCAGCTGGCTTGGAACTCATTATGTAGACCAGGCTGGCCTCGATCTCACAAAGACCTGCCTGCCTCTGCTTCCCAAGTCCTGGAATTAAAACTCTTTTTAGTGAGTCTCCACAGTTAGATTTGATCTCCCAATGTCCCTGACACTTAGCACAATACTAGCAATATGTCAATGCTCAATAAAGATCTGGTATGTTGACTGACCCTAAATGCTGAAGAAAAAAGGACTTCCCCTAAAGTCGGGAGACAATGGAAGGGCTGAAAAGTATATGGAAACATGAACTGCCGCGTATTCCACACAGCAATCACTTCACATGCATTGTGCATTTGATTTTCGTTGCCTCCCTGTGAAGTAGGTAATATTCGTCCTGTTCTACAAATGTGGAAGTAGTGACTGAAAGCAATTAGGCAACGTGCCTGTGTAGCTGAAAGAATTTAGACGCAAATCTAGGCTGCCTTCCAGGCACACCTGTCATCTGTTGCGCGTTCCCCCTCTGTGCTAATTCCTCAGGAAGGATTTTGCCCCTAGCCTTGACCTGTGTCCTCATCTGATAGTGAAAGCCTATTTTCTGCTTTACCTGTTTGCCCTTTTCTTGGCCAACAACGTATTCCTCCCCACCTCCCCAAATGCTGCTACTTGCCAAAGGCTAGAGAGTCAACCTTTGTGATATTCATTAAAGAAAAGTTGTATGCTACAGGGCCTCTGAAGCAGCTGAGTTCCCGGGGCCTGGGGATGGTGAGCCTGCAGCTGCCTCCTTCATCACAGGTCCGCAATTAGTAAGCATTTGTGCAGCTTGCCTTTCTCAGATCAGGAAATGGGCCACAGGAGAAGCTGACAGCTGGAGGTGGGTTGGAGAGGGAGTGAGAGCCTTCCAGCTGTGAGGCCAGGGAAAAGGAGCTTTGTTTGTAGCTGAGCTTCAAGCTTTCTGTGGATAGTGGAGTAAGAAGGAGGCAGAGGGGGATGAAAGAGACCCTCCTCTTTGTGGAAGAAGATGATGAAAGAGGGAGAAGGAGATGGAGAGGTGAAAGCAGCAAGATGAGCGATCCGAAAGCAGCGTCATTGTAACAGGCAGCGTTTGCACAGCAGTGGATCCACTGTCTCCATCCTCCGGTAGCTCTCTGTAGGAAGACACTGTTATTCTTCCCACTTGACAAAGAACTCTGAGAATCAGAGAGGTTAAGTGATTCAGACAGGTGTAGTGGCTTGCCGAAATCCAGACACCACGGTAGTCAGATAAAGGCAAATAGATTTGTAAAGCGAGAAAACAAAAGCTTGGTGTGGTGGCACAGCCTATGATCCCAGTACTTGGGAGACTGAGGAAGAGGATCCTGTGTATGAGGCAAGCCTGGGCTACATACTGAGACTGGCCCAAAAAACTCAACCAAAAAGGCAAGGGGGGGAAAAAAACATGATTGCAGCAGGGGGAGGGAGCTTGGGTGGTGGAAGCAAGTAAAAGTGAAAGAGGAAGAAATCGGAGGCAGGGCTGTGTATAGACTTTGGAGCCAGACAAGTTCAGGACCAAAGTCCCACTGATATTGCCATGTGAGTTGTGTGAGTTATGCAATCTCTTGAGGCCTTCATTTTCTCATTTGTAAATTGGAGATGGCCTAGACACGTGGCTTAGCCCCTCTCAGTAAGGTTTTTCCTTCCTAAATTCTACTGAAATGAACAAATAGATCTCTCCTTAAGTCCCCTTCCTGACAAAAAGAACATGTGTCTAGGTAAAAAGAGTAAATAGGAAGCTTTGTTTGTACACCGTGGCTCTTGAGGTGCCTGCCATCTAGAGCCTAAACTAGAGCTTCCAGGCTGGGGTGGGGGTAGGGGTGGAGAAGAAAGAGGAAGAAACTGGTCTGGGTATGTAGTGCTGTCAGTGGTAGAGTACTTGCCTAGTATGTGCCAGGCCCTGCGTTCCACCCCCAGCACACACACACACACACACACACACACACACACACACACAAATCCCAAACCTGGGCTTCTTTTACTGATGCTTTTACTCATCTTGGGCAAGCCAGCTTACTTCCCTAACACACAGTGTCAGCATTGGTCATGAAGAGGGTCTGACTGACTCTTTCCCTCAGAGATTTCATGAACGCAAATGAGATCGGGACTTGCTAGGTGCTGGCAAGTGTGGAATGCTCTGCACATGGTGCACTCATTCTTCAGCCACCACCCAATGACAGCCTACCATCATTCTGTGTCAGGAACCATCTCAGATCGCATGGAAATCATTCTATGAGGTACGTGAAATCACCAGGAAATTAATTAGTAAATAGAATAAGTGATTTTCCCAAGATTAAATAGTTGGTTACTGTTAGAGTTAAGATCCATCTGGCTTTAAAACCAGTACAGACAACTCTTTTCCTGTACTGTCTCTTTGAAGCAGAACCCTCTGTACATGAAATTGGGCCTTCTGAGCTCTGGCCACACTGATCCAGAGAGTCCTACTGGGGCCACAAAAAGGTTCCAGCTGAAGGGATGGGAAAAACATGTCCTTCTATCTCTTCTCTCCCTAGGGTTTGACTTCTTTGAAGCCAGTGCCAAGGAGAACATCAGCGTGAGGCAGGCCTTCGAGCGCCTGGTGGATGCCATTTGTGATAAGATGTCTGATTCGCTGGATACAGACCCCTCCGTGCTGGGTGCCTCCAAGACCACACGTCTCTCAGACACTCCGCCCCTGCTGCAGCAGAACTGCCCGTGCTAGGCAAGGCCCACCCTCCTAGCCTCCCCTCATTGTGGCCCCACATGCACTCTGCTTCTCTCTGTCATATGCTGTCCATTCCCAGCCCCAAGCAAGTTGAGTTCTTTGCCAGCCCCTGTGGTTCTCTGCAGATGGCTGCAATTAGAGGCACAAATCAGTAGACTCACAGTGCAGGTCACGGTGTGGTGAAGATTCCTTTTGCAAAAAGAAAATTCCCTGTTATGAAGGGGATTTACTATAAGAACTTGGAAAGAGTCTTTTCTTCCCCTTAAAATAAAATTTCCTTTGCCAAAATTTCACACACACACACACACACACACACACACACACACACACACACTCTTTTCAGGGACTGGCCAAATGTGTACAGTGAAGCCCACCAGCACAGTTAATCCTATTAACTAGAACTTCCCAAAGTACAACCTGCTTGTTTCCTATCAGGCCCGCTGTGGGGTTTCCTCTCAATGCCAGTCAAGCTTTGGTTGCAAAGCCCTGAGCCTGTTACCACGGATGCCCACAGGGCCCAGGCAGTTGCTGTGGTGACAGGACAGTGCTAATCTCCTGAGAGCTGACTCTAGTGATGCTGAAGGAGCAAAGGCTGAGTGAGAAACACACTTAAAAAGATTATCTCCTGCAAAATGTCAAAGGCTCCCACTATCTCAAAGTACAAGGACGAGAGAGAGAGAGAGAGAGAGAGAGAGAGAGAGAGAGAGAGAGAGAAGTGACACACAGATGACAAAGGGTCATGTGCTTCTAGCTGGTTCTATTTGTTGTTGCTTGTTTGCTTGATTGTCTGTTTTGAGACAGGAGATCACGCTGTAGTCCCAAGCTGACCTCCACTTGCTATAGAGTGGCCTTGAACTCAATCCTGCTGCCTCAGTTTCCTCATTGCTGGGAATACAGGTGTGCAAAACCACATCCAGCTTCTCCAGCTGCTTCTGTTTTATTTTATTTTATTATGTGTATGAGTGTACTGCCTGCATGTGTATAAGTGCACCCATGTCGTGCAGTGTCTTCAGAGGTCAGAAGAAGGCATCGGTTCCCCTGGAACTGGAGCTACAGAAGGTTGTTAGCTGCCATGTGGGTGCTGGGAATCAAACCTAGGTCCTCTGCAAGAACAGCCAGTGCTCTTAACCACTGAGCCATCTCTCCAGTCCTTCCGGCTGGTTCCTGGCCATGGGAATGCTATAAAATTTATCACTGATTCTTAGACTACAAGAATCTGAAAAGCCTGAAGCTGATGGGATTCCCAAAGTTATCTAGTTTGACTGGTCAGTTTCAACTTTCCTATACTCTGACAAGTGGCTATCAGGCTTCAAAACCAAAGCTCTTTCCTTTCAAGCACCCCTTCTGTCAAGCAGGAGTGGTGGCTCAAGCCTGTAATCCTGGAATGTGGAAGACAGAGGCAGGAGGATCAACAGCTCCAGGCCAGCCTGGGCTACATGACTTTTGGGTACTGGAGTTCACCATCTGCAACATCTTTGTGCAGCTTTTAGAGACAGGATGCTTTCTTTGTTTCAAACTGAAAACCACCTCATCTTTCTGCTCCATCTGTACTAGCTCTGTTGTCAGAAATCTCCCCTTCTCTACTCCATAAATGCCTTAGATTATTTAAATCCAAGAATCCTGTCCTCCAGGTCTACGCTTTCCCTGGGTCAAATCCCCCTGTAATCCCCTTTGTCATTCTTGTAGGGGCCTTCTTCTCATCCTGCCCATTTCTTCCAACCAGTCAAATGCTTTTGAACAGTCCAACTGGAAGATGTGATTCAAAGCAGACTACGTCTAAGGAGACATGGGGCTGGAGAGATGGCTCAGTGGTTAAGAGCACTGGCTGCTCTTACAGAGGACCAAGGTTTGATTCATAGACAATAAAAAAATTTTTTTTTTAATTTACAAGGATATGACCCTGAATAAAATGAGGAAAATTGTACCCGAGGCCTAGCCCTCTTTTCCTAGGAATGGTATCTGAGAGTCCCCTCTGGATGAAGACTCTCATCAAATACATGAAGCAAAAAAACAAAAATACTCTGAAGTCTGAGTTGTTCAGCTGTGATTGTAGCTCGTCATGGACACTGGAACACATTTGGGTTTTAGTTGAACTAATGACACACAGCTGCCAATGAGTCCTGACATTCTTTCTTCCTAACCATGGCCTAAGTCCCCAGGCTCCTGTCTCCTACACTAACACGCCACTTCAAAAGTCAGTGTGTCTGTCAGTTTTCTGTATTTCAAATGCAGTTAATTGTGCCTAGCTGGCATCAAGTCCTGTGATAAAATAAAAAGACCATCTAGTATCAGCTCTGTGGAGATGTTACATTCTTTGATGCAACGTGGAAGAGAGAGTTTAGACTTGAATTTAAGACAGCTGGACTCTGCCATTAATGAAGTTTTGTTTTTGTTTTGATTTTCTTTGGTTGGTTTGTTTGTTTGCTGACATAGGGTCTCACGTATCCAAGACTGGCCTTGAACTCACTGAGTAGCCAAGGGTGACCTTGATCTTCTGATCCTCCTGCCTCCACCTCTTAAGTACTGGGATTCTAGGCATGTACCACCATGCCTTCTTTATACAGTACTGGGGCTCAAACCCAGGACTTTGTTCTTGCTAGGCACGCATTCTACCAACTGACATAAATCCCCCAACCCTAATCAAGTGTTCTTTGAGAAAGGGTCTCAAGTAGTCCAGGCTAGTCTCAAACTCGCTATGTAGCTGAGATTGGCTATTGCTTCTCCTGCCTCTGTCTCCCCAGTGCTGGGATTATGGGTATAATTTTATAATCTTTTTTTAATTTATGTGTATGAGTGCCATGCTTGCATGTATGTAAGTGCACCATGTTGTGCAGTGCCCACAGAGTACGGAAGAGGGCATCAGATCCCATGGGACTGGAGTTACAGTTGTTAACTGCCATGTGAGTGCTGGGAATCAAACGTGAGTCTTCTGCAAGCCAGTGCTCTTCTTACAGCCTGGGCCCTGAACTGCTGAGCCATCTCTCCAGCGCTAGCTCTGTGATACTTTTTGACACCTTAACCATTTCAATTGATCTGCAAAACAAAGTTGAGAGATCAGGATTATCACCCACTGTTATTTGAGCTAATATGGACATCATGCTTACGCTGCACAAGACATTGTTCCAAGTACTTTATAAGTGTTGACTCATTTCTCTTCCTAACATCTTTTGTGAGGGAAGCACAATAATCAACCTCATTTAAAGATGAGCAAATGAGGTTCTGGATTGCCTAAGGCCACATAATTAGCAAATGATAGAGCTGGAATTCAAACCCAGGCAGTGTGCGCCAAGGTCTGTGTTCTTACCTACATTCTGTGCTATATCTCTCTTAGATAAATGTGATTCAGACACTAGGAATCATGCCAAAGTGGTCAAATTCCAAGTCCACTGGAGAAAAGATACATGTCTGTAATGTGTTAACACATTGCTTAACTACTCAGACTAATCCATGGTGATGGATAGCCAGTGCTCAAGAGAGTTAGTTTCTGAGGCAGCCAGATCCCATGGGCTTAAGCAAGAAATGCCCATCATTTCTCAGGGCCAAGTACTGGCTTTTTCTATATCTGCCTCTGTCAGGCAGTTCTTATCTGGCTCTGAGCAGCCTCCATGCTCCAGTAATGGTGCATTTTAGGGAACTGATTTGATTAACATCTCTGACCACAGAAAAACACATTGCCTTCTTAGGACTGTTCCGGTTATGTTTTCCACAGTACAGGGCTCCATAGGGTGTCATGGATGATTAAGTGTTTTCTTTGGGCAATAGCACCATCTACTCTAGAACTAAAATTTCACACCAAAGTCCTCATATTGGCTGGTTGTTTTAGTAGCTATATTCAATAATATTTTCTCTCCCATTGTATGTCCAAGGAAAGATGGAATCTTCAACTTAAACACTTAGGAACCAGTTCAAGGGAGCAAGCTGTACTTCACAACAGTTGGAGTCAAAAGTTTTTGTACTCTTTTATTGGCCAACAGACAAGCAGATCATTTCTTTAGATGGCAGTCCCCTAGCCCCGCTTTATGACCTCATGTCTGTGGAGTAGAAGGCAGCAGCCTCCTGCTGATTGCAGCACAACGTTCATCAATCACGGTAACAGCGCAATTAGCCACTGAGGCTGGAGCTGCATAATGTGTTAGTTGCAACTTGTCCCAGATTTCATCTTCCTAAACAAGCCAAATAAATGAAAATTAAGGAAAAAAACCTATTCACCTTTAAAGAGGCAAAAGCAGGCCACAAGTACAACAGTATTGTAGATATTTTATAGAATATTTTTAAATGCATGTGTGTCTGTAAATACAAAGTGATTTGTGACTTCTAATTGTTCCCTCAGCATGCAGCCTTGTCAATTTACACATGCAGCAATGGGATGCAGTACGTTGAGTGGACACAAACCCATCAAATACTAGACCTGGAAAGCGGCTTAGAGATCTTGTCCAGGCTCCTATTTTATAGAAAGGAAGACTGAGGATCAAGGAGTGGGAGGAAATCTCTTACTCACCCTAAGAGTTCATTAATGGTGGAGCCAGGACTAGGTCTTAGTTCACTTCCAAGAAGAAATTTGCCTATTCTGAGTATCTACTACGAGCCCAATAATTTTAAACACTGGATAAATATTGGTAAAAATAAATGATCTTTGCCTGTTAGGTACCTGTACTTTAATGGTGGTACTTAAAATATTATTTCTAAGCATCCCGTTTGCTAATAGTGTCCCATCGACTAATGTGACTCACGTGCCCACATTCTGTTTTAAGGGGTGGAAAGATAGATGCCATCTCTTAATGTTAGAAGCTATAAAATATTGTGGAAAACAATTCAGTCTACCACATGAAACCTCCCTAAGTTATCTGAAACTACGTCTGGTGAATTCCTGCGCCTTAAACTCTAGCTCTACAGATATCCCCAAGGAGAATGTGAAAATGGCCTGGGGAAGGGTTGACTCAGCCTTTGTTCAGTGGTCCAAATGGTCTACTTTGGATGAATCAAGACACATCCAGATAGAGAAGTTCTGATCCTTGTTAAACAGTCTGTTTGGTTATTTCTTAGCTATCCCTTGAAGAATGAATCATTCCGTGGGACTCACTATAGAATGGTTGTGATTCCTGGCTAAAATGCCTAGCCAGGAACCTATCCAAAAGGTTCAGAATATACAGAAGATGGCAGAAGGAACAGTTGGGCCCTGTACGCTAGCTACAGTCTCTCTGTTGGAAACTCATCTAGTTTCAAGGGTTTAGATGCTAAGACTTTGGTAGGCACATATATACCCAAATACTACTAGGCATTTCTGTGTCTCAAACTTAACATGTCTGATTTGGATCTCATTTCTGCCTTGAATATATTTTCATCCCAGTGTTCACCAAAACTTAGGGATCATTGTCTATAATTTCTTGATCTTTCCATAGTCTCCAATCCAGCAACAAGTCCTTCTAGATATATCTCAAGACTGTCCACTTCTCTCCATTTCAGTGCCATGGTTTGGGTGCCAACATGGTTTCTTTCCCAGAAAGCTATCACAGAGTGCCTAATCAGTCTCACTATGTACACAGTTCTCCCCTACAGTCCCTCCTCTGCCAAACAGCAAACTTTTAGAAACATAAATGATGGGCTGGAGAAATGGCTCAGTGGTTAAGAGTGCATACTGCTCTTGCAGAGGACCAGAGTTTAGTTCCCAGCACCCATGGTCAGGAAGCTCACAACTGCCTGTAACCCCAGCTCCAGGGGATCTAACACCCTCTTCTGGCCTCCAAGGGCACTTGCTGTCATGTACACATACCCTGCACAGGCACATATACATATACACATAATTTTAAAAAAGTAAAGCAAATATTTATCATTTATCATTTAAAGATGAATGAAAGGTTTAATTACCCTGAGGTTTACACATGAAAACAATCTGGAGACTTTCATTATTACTA